CTAAAATTGGGAAAAACAAATTGTCAAACAAAATATTTCTTAACATTAATTTTTTTTTTAACATGTATAAATATTGATCAAATGATGACATGTGTTAACATTTAAAATTAATTAAAATATATAGAAAAAATAGAGAAAATGAACAAAATAATTGCCAAGTCCCTAACCAAATAGTAAAGTAGAAAATTTTCTTATTATTCAAGCTAATTATGAGAAAAGAACATTTTTTAATACTCCACACTAGATGTATTTATAAACATCTAATAGTTTAAATTAATTATAAAATTAAATTAAGAGACAAAATAGAAAGAGTGTAAACCATAAAAAAAAATTAGATAGAAAAAAAAACAAGTAAGAAAAATATTATCGACGGATTTTACACGTAAGTAAAATTATAATTCATCAGATCGTAACATATGCCCAATATTTTGATCAGATGATTACATGTGTTCAAAGTTAAATAATTAAGAAATGGTGAAATAAAAATAGAAAACAAACCAAATAATTTTTAAGCAATTAACCAAATGGTAAACAAAAAAAATTATAATAATCACAAATAGCTAGGAAAAAAAAGAAAATTAAGAAAGAAAATAGAGAGATTGTACACAATAAAAAAAAAGATAGAGAGGAAAGATAAATTTTAATTAAATATGAATGATAAAACAAAAGAAATTTTAGAAATTGGAAAACAAAAAATTAGAAAGAATATGCACAAACATACCAAATAGAAAAAAATACACATATTTACTTTATATACATAGTTATAGAATATTACAAAGAAAATAGAAATCTTCTACCTATATTTTTCGATATTAGAAAAAGAAATTACATAAAATGAAAATATATACATGTTGTAAAATAATAATAATATATTTACGGTTAAGATCAAAAAGCGTAAGATTTGACGAATATAGATCTCTATGAAAAATAAAAAAAATGACATCAGTGACACTTATAATAAGATATATTTGGGTCTACATAATATGAAGAAAAATTAGCATGTATACCTATAATTAATTATCTAACACCATGTAAAACATAATGTAGTAATTAGCATTTAGGTTATACTAAATCCCGATTTTGCCCTTCTATAATTAATACAGATTTTTACCATTTAAAAAATAAAAATAAAAACTTTTCTTTTATCCAAAACTTTCCTTTACAGAATTCTCACATAGCTAATTATATTGTCCGTTAACAAGAGATAGTTACGTGTTACATAGTTAATTAGATTTACCTAGTAAGCATGACATAGCTAACTATACTATCTATTAACAATGGATAGTTAGTTATACGTGTTACATAGTTAACTATATTTACTTAATACTCATGACATAGCTAACTATACTATCCATTAACAAAAGATAGTTAGCTATATGTGTTACATTCTTAATTATATATATACAATATTCATGACATGCATAGCTAACTATACTGTCTACGGACACAATAACCACATTTGAACAACTCATCCTGCTTAGGTTTGAAATCCTGAAAACCAGTCTCCAAAAACAGCCCATTCACCCAACATCACAATAACCATAGTCCATTTTCCCATCTGAAACAAATAGTTAACTACAGTATTAGAATAATAGCTAACTACAACAACATAAAAGAAAATCGAATATAGTCAACTATACGTATTTCTACCACCAACCCTGCTTTCCATATTCTTCACCACTGATTTTTATGGATCTTTATTACTAGCAATAATTACAAAATTTAATAGGGACAAATTTGTCAAAATATTTATTCTCTATGCTACTCACCTAAATTCTTTTATGGACATGTTAGTTTCTTAATTCATTGCTCAAAACATAATGTTGAACTAATTAACCCTAATATGAATTAGAACATGAGAATTAAGATATAAATTAAACTTTAATGGTCTAAGACCCATGTTGAAATATTTTTTTAATTTAACGGGTTATTAATTAAAACTTAAATTTTGATATTAATAAATTTTAATGTGTTTACCCGCGTTGATATTGCATAAAATGAAAATTTATACATGTTGTAAAATAATAATAATATATTTACTGTTAAGATCCAAAAGTGTAAGATTTGGTGAGTATAGATCTCAATGAAAAATAAACCAATGACATTAATAACACTTATAATAAGATATATTTGGATCTGCAT